ACACACACACACACACACACACACAACTTTACATTTTTAAGTGGCTACATTTTAAGTGGTTATATAAATATTTACATCATATCCTTGCTTTTGCCTTTTGGCCTGCTAATCCTAAAATACCTGGCCCTTTAAGAAAAAGTTTGCAACCCCTAACCAGATTTATCTAGACCATTACCAGTTGATGTGAGTACCAAATGTTGGAAAATACTGAGTTAGCCCAATTTCCCTCCTCAACCTCCACCATTTTACAGTTGAGGAAGTTGAGACTCAGTGAATTTGTGTAACTAGCTCAAGGTCACATAGCCAATGGATGCCAGAGTTAAGTGCAGGGAAGTCCTTAGTTTTCTGACTCTCAGCCCATCTGCTTCTCTTTCTGGAAACACAGTTGAGCCCCAAGGCACACTTATATAGCAAATCAAACCTCAATACTAAGAGGGGCAGGGTTGTGTGATTCTAAAACCAAAGATTAATTCTTTACAATGCTTGAAAATCTGCCACCACCACCACCACCATCATCGTCAAATATGCATGAGAGGCTAGGTGCGGTGGCTCATGCCTGTAATCCCAGCACTTTGGGAGGCTGAGGTAGGCAGATCACTTGAGGTCAGGAGTTCGAGACCAGCCTGGCCAACATGGTGAAAACCCGTCTCCACTAAAAATACAAAAATTAGCTGGGTGTGGTGGTGCACACCTATAATCCCAGCTACTCAGGAGGCTGAGGCAGGAGAATCGCTTGAATCCGGGAGGCAGAGGTTGCAGTGAGTGGAGATCATGCCACTGTACTCCAGGCTGGGTGACAGAGTGAGACTCTGTTTCAGCAGCAACAACAACAACAACAACAACAACAACAACAAACGTGCATGAAAACTCCTCTCCAGATGTAACTGTCTAACCAAGTTTGAATTCTGTCACTTAGGCACCTTCTCTGGGCCATCACCCAGGAGTTTCCACCCTCTGCTGGGAAGTCTTCTCTGATGCCTGGAGAGGGTTAATGTGCTCTGCAGATTATCGTGGGCGTGGATCTCCTCCTGGGAGCCCTATCAAACAGACTTCAAGGCTGCCTGGGTTTGGACTGTGATTTTCCCATGGATTGGCTGGTTTTATACCCCCAGTGCGGGGGACAGGGAAGGGGCAGGATGCTGAGGGATGGGGTGAATTTATGAGGGAGGGAAGGGCCCCAGGAGCTGAAAGCCACTTCTGTATTCTGGACTGGACTTCAGAAAAATTCCTCTAAGTGAGGGCGGAAGACAAATATATCCCTTTTCCTTTGGGCCAGAAGGCTCAGAAAACTGAAGAAAAGGATGGCAGGCCTGTGATATGACACTGGGTTGGGAGAAAGGAGAAGTGAAATCTACATGGAAGAAAACAGAAAACAGTCCCTAGGTTTTCAATGTCAAATAAAGAATCCATCAAATACAAAATGCCACAGTGGGAATGAGATCTTCCTCATCTATGCCTGACTAATTGCTCTCTAATGTCATTTGCTATTTAAAAAAAAGGGTCATTTGGTGAATTGAATGGAATTACATAAAACCAGGAATACTTTTTGATCAATAGAATTTTTACCTCCTTTAATATTATTCTTTCTCCTCTTTACGCCAGCCCACTCACTTGATTTGTAATCTCTCTAGTGCTATACACATCACTGATTCTGATTCCCTCTAGTAATTCCTTCTAAGCCAAATTATATCCATTAAGTTTTCGTAAAGGTCCTTTTGAGGTGTGCCGCATGCTATTTTTCTTCTGTAATTATTTCTTGCTTTTGGAAAAAATGTCTTTTATAAAAGCAGAAAAAGGTGTTTTTTTCTCCCTAGGAGCAGGTCTTATTAACTCTGGGCTCTCTACAAAAGACCTTGGCTACTTAGCCAGCATGCAGTAGGTGTGAGAGTTCAGGGATAATGGCTGCTTTGTATTCAGCAGGCCCTCTTCCCTAGGCCCTCTAAGGTCCTTGCAATAATTGAACATTTTAGCGCTTAAGGACTTTGTCAGTGGAGATAGAGCAGGATGGGTGGGAAAAGGCTGGTGTTCGGAGCCCCCTTTCTCAGCAGTAACATTGAGGCCCAGGGATATGCGAACACAGGCCTGAGGTTGGGCCAGGCCTGTTCAAGGGGGGGTGATATTGCTCCCATCTTCAGGGGACAAAAATGGGTTCTTGAGGGTCAAAACACTGAGATTTTTTTTTGAGACAGAATCTCATTCTGTTGCCAGGCTGGAGTGTAGTGGCGTGGTCTCACCTCACTGCAACGTCCACCTCCTGGGTTCAAGCAATTCTCCTGTCTCAGCCTCCCGAGTAGCTGGGACTACAGGTGCATGCCACCATGCCCAGCTAATTTTTTTTTTAGTAGAGACGGGGTTTCACCATGTTGGCCAGGATGGTCTCAATCTTTTGACCTTCTGATCCACCTACCTTGGCCTCCCAAAGTGCTGGGATTACAGGTGTGCACCACTGCGCTTAGCCAAACTGAGATATTAATTACAGTGTTTTATCACCCTCCAAAGGTCTACAGTAGGTGTATACTATATCTCTGGTATTCACATTTCTGGTGGGGAGATGATTAAGAAAAAATGATCTAAAAAGGGTCCTTAGGAGAAGTGACAAAGAAAAAAGGCGGAGAAGAGCTGCGTTAGATAAACCTAGCGTCAGCGTCAGGACTGACGGGGGTCTCCAGGGAGATCTCTTGGCCTGCTGTTCTGGCCACACTTTTCATTTTGTGAGGGACTGGCTGGCTCATTCTGGAAGTAGCCCCAGGCTTGGAGTTATGCTTCTGCTGCTTGCCCCTCTCCAAATCTCAGTTCTTCAACTACTAAACAGGAACACAAATAAGACAGCCCCCAAGCTCTGCCCTAACTCTGTGACTTTCTGCAGACACCCACCTGATTGAGCCCACACATCCAAACCTGGGCACCCACACACATATGCATCTACATTGATTATATTTGGATTTTTTGGGTCAAGCAAGTCCAGCAAATTGGAGGGGAGTGCAACCAGTACACACACAGACTGAATTTGTAGTGCAGAAAAAGCCCCTGACTTCCTCTTCTCCCTTTTCTCCTCTGCCCACTGCCTTCTACCACAGTTGGATGTAGATATCTCAGGACAGCCGGACATTCTTTGCCTGGGCTAGCCAGGCACCTTAAACACTCTGGACCCTCACTCACTGCCCACCAGTAGATCCATGGCAGTTGGAATCAGTTTCCCCCAAAGTAGTCACCATTCTAGCTGTCTGGTAAGTAGGAAAGGCTCAAGAATGGTTAACACAAGGTGGAGGAATCAGGTGGGCTCACTTCACACATGAGAAAGACGGCTGCAGGTACCTGTGGGAGTGAGGCAGCGATGGCATGGAAGCTGAGGTCCCCGGGAGCCTCCGGTGGCTTCTGAACCCTTCTCAGAGCTGGCTCACACACCAAATGCACACAGAGAGGGTCCACCCAGTTGGAGGGACAGGCCTGTGGGCTTCTCAGCGTAACACAAATCAGAGGCAGCAATAACAGGTGTGGTGCCCATGGCCTGCTCAGCCTCCCAGAGAGAGGGGAAGGAGCAAACCACTCAGCCTTGGCCAGTTTGCCAGAGGAGGAAAATTCCTTCCTCACTCCGGTGGTGATCATCAACTTCACTCTGGGCGTGTGACCAAAAATCGACCCAATTAAGCATCTCCACATTGGCTGTTTACGTGCCAGATCATCACTGGGCAGAAAAAGTCCACGAGGGTGCAAAATATAGAAAAAAGGGGCCAAGAAATGGATTCCTTAATTCCACCCTCTGGGTTAGGTATCACTAGGAAGAAAATCAGTTTTCCTTCCCCAAAGCCTCAGCAACACCCAAATGTTCACTCCTTCCCAAGCCTTTTGAGCAAGGGAGGGTCAATTTCCCAGCCCTTGGACCTCCCTAAGAAGGGGCCCATTGAGGAGAACCCAGTGGAATATTTCAACACTCACTGCTAAAGAAAGATTGAGGGTTGGGTGCTTGAGTGTTTGTTCTTCTCGCAAGAACCCCAGCAGCTGTGAGAATCAATTTGCTGACCTCTCGTCAAGTGACTCCTCATTTTTCTTTAGCTTGCTTGGGGAGTTTGCATGTTTGTTTGTTGATAGCTATTTTTCTGAAGGTGCAGTGAAGATCTAAAAAAAGTATCCCATGTAGTTTGCATGGGCTTCAAAGCAAAGCTTACCAGTTTTGGGTTAAATACATCAGGGATTAAATCCTACCTCTGCTGCAGCGGGCGTGGGGCACATTTCTTACTGCCCAGCCTGCAGAAATTCTTAAGCTTTTTTTCATACAGGTGTGGTATATAAACATTCATGCCCCTCTTTGAACTCCGGTTTCCTCATCTCTAAAATGGGGATTTTTTTTTTTTAAAACATGCAATCCTCAAGATGTCTTGAGGATTTGAGAAAATTTATTAATATATGCAGAGATGGGGCATAAGACATATATTCAATCCTGTTTTAGAAGGAAAAATCGAACAGCCATCAACAATGTATCTAGAAATTTGCCACTCTGGTGACTTATGAAAAAGGGAGACGACCAAACTGAAAACCCCAGTCCGAGACTACTTTAGATTAGGAAAAACATTCTGGCAGAGAACACGAAGACAAAACAATCAAGCCTTCACTTGGATGGGCAAACCACCCCTTTCCCTGGGTCTCTGAACTAGGACTGAAACACAGAGCTGCCTCCTTAAGTCACCTGGCCTTTCTGGCCCCGGTTTCCTCATCTGTCACATGAAGCAGTTGCACCTAACGATGTCTGACACGCTTCCGGGCGTACAAAACGCTCATGCATCCACACGCGGCCCGGCTTCAGCCTGAGAAGGGAGCTTGTGCTACCGGTGGCCGTCAGCAGGGGGCAACCTCGCAGAAACCCACACTGCAGAGTCTGACAAGACCTGAGAGCACAGTGGAAAAACCCTAACCATTGCTTTTCTGGAAGCGTTCTCTTCTGGGGAGATGTCGGAGGGCAAACGGGTTTCTTTTAAAACTATTTTATACAGATAAATTCCTGCAAAAATGCCCCAAACTATAATAAAGCAGTTCTCTGTATTGAGGGGGTGGGGGACAGTGGGCAGGCCGGCGGGGAAAGGAATTCAATCAGGGGAGAAGGGTAGGCGGGTGGGGGGGGATGGGGGGCTTTCCTTGAAACTGAATATTTTTCTGCGTAAAATCCAGCTTCTCTTCCTAAAGACAACTTAAGGGAGGGTAGAGAACTGCCTGCCTGGGTGCCTTCTCTTAGTTCTCCTTGGTTCAGCTCAGGGATCCAGAGGGAGTGGGGTCTGTGAGGAGGGTGGGGGGGCCGCACGGCCTGCAGAGGCAAGCAGGTCTCTCTCAGACAAGCTGTCACATCCGTGTCAAACAGCTCCCGGGAGGCCCCGGGACTGCACCCAGCGCAGAGGCCAGCCCTGGAGCTGGAGATGGACGAGCAGACCCAGGCCCCAGGCGGAGCCTCTGAGCCCCAACACCCCCTAAGATTCATCCAAAAAAGCAAAGGAAAGGCGCTTACGTGAGGACCGCGGTGGCTAGGTCCAAAGAGGAGGCTTTCAAGGCAAGAGAAGGCAGGCGCTCCCAGCACCAGCGTGCAGTGGAAATAAAGGCACCTGTAGCCTTGTGATATAAGTGACACCTACAGACAGGTCCGTTTGGTTTTTCAGGTTTATGCACAGCCCCTTTGATGACGGTGACATACAGTGTGACACGGCTCCTGGAGGGGGGGAATGGTTCTCATATGCAGAAAGTTTACCTTTATCCTGCTTTTGTGCCCAGCTCACCCCGGCCCTGCAACCCCCCACCCTCAGCCCAGGGGATTCAGTAAACAAGCAGAAAATTCTTGTCCCTGGGAGCTGTGCGGGATGGTGCGTTTGCTGAGGAATTTTCCTCTGTGCAGGCTGGAGGGGAAACGCAGAGCATCTCCCCTGGTGCCAATCTCTGCTGCTTCCCTCCCAGGCTGGCTGAGCCCAGTGCTTTTGTAGATCACTCATTCTCCTTTTTTCCCATGTGCTGAGAAGGAAGAGCATTATAGGGCCAGTGTTAAGATCTCAGGATTTGCAGCTAGATGACTTTGAATTCAAATTCTGTGTCATTCCCTAGCTGTGCTACCCAGAAAAACGTACCTAACCTCTCTGGGCTTCATGAGTCTAATGTAAATGATGGGGCCTCTCCTCATGACTGCTGTGAAATTCACATGAGACCAGGCAAGCCCTCTGTTAGCTAGGATGACTGCAGCATTGTCCCTGATAGAGCACGTTCAGCAGGACTCCCCCTTGCTATTTCTTCCAACCTATGCATTCCAACCAGGAGAAGGGAACAGGCAGCTCAGAGAACTGCTTTGGGGCCTTTTCTTCCACTTTTTATCCCTAAGTACCAACAGGGCATCAGACACATTAACTTATTAAACTTCTAATGCTTGTATGTAATGAGCTGTGCAGCGGCTTCCTTTCCCCTCCTCTGTTTTGCAGATGGAGAAATGAAGAGGCTTAGTGGCCCAGTCAGGTGTCCAAAGCTAATTGGCCAGGGGGCCTGATGTGGATGCCAGCTCACAGGTGCCTCGCTGAGAATTGCCCGCTTTTTTTTTTTTTTTTTTTTTTGAGACGGAGTTTCACTCATGTTACCCAGGCTGGAGTGCAATGGCGCAATCTCGGCTCACCGCAACCTCCGCCTCCTGGGTTCAGGCAATTCTCCTGCCTCAGCCTCCGGAGTAGCTGGGATTACAGGCATGCACCACCATGCCCAGCTAATTTTTTGTAGTTTTAGTAGAGACGGGGTTTCACCATGTTGACCAGGATGGTCTCGATCTCTTGACTCGTGATCCACCCGCCTCGGCCTCCCAAAGTGCTGGGATTACAGGCTTGAGCCACCGCGCCCGGCCTGCCCGCTTTTTTAGTACTTCTCTGTGACAACAGAAACTCTGCCTAATTTAGGCTGTGAAGCACAGTGTCCCACGTTATTGATAAGGCAAGTATTTATAAACAGAATGCTGTTTTGCATTCTGCTTCTAGCCATCTTGGGCAGCCGAGATGTTGTATTCAAATGGCAGACTCTAAGCTTAAAAGTGAAAGCAGGGACTGGTTTGTTAGGTTTTCTTGGGATCACTGGGCATGGGTACAAACACACAAATACAAATACACATATAGTCTGAAGAAACAAAAGGCAGTTCATGAGAGCATTCAGGGTGTCATCATGGAAAAATTGTTGAAGAAAGGTAGGTGACTGCCTAGGCTGCTGTCTTGGCTGGGTCACCGAGGCTTCATTTTTCCCCAGTGGCAAAAGGAGGAAGTGGGATTAGAATAGTGATTTTTTCAAACTGCAACTTGAGGAGCCCCAGGGGTTCCCCAGAGCCCTTATAAGGACTTTTGGGGGTGAGAGGATGGGACTGGAGTAGAATGGGTTGGGCTCTAGACCACCACGGTCCTTCCTGACTCAATAAGAACATCTCAGCTTTTCTATAAATCTTCTGGGTAAGATTTCATTTGAACAAAAGAATCTGCTCTTAGAAAAGGTTTGCAAGCAACTGGATTAATGGTCTTTGGGCCTCGCTTACGCTTTACAATTCTGTGACTTCTCTTCCTCTTTGGTTTCTCGGGGACTGTGGGCTTGATAGTTGTACACACTAGGTTTTCCATTGTAGGCACTGGCCTATCTTGTCACTGGTTTCTCAAATGTCAAAAATGTTTCTTTCTGAACACATACATTCTTCTCAGTGGAGAGGTTTTTAGGGAAAACATGTTATTCTGATACTGTTTTTAGAAAAGAGCCTTTTGGCTAAAACAGTAACAGAATAACGTGTTTTCTCTAAAAGCCTTTTTCTATACTCTCTTGACTCAATTTCCTCCCCCAGAGGCTGTGGCTGCCCAACTGGCTCAATGATCTGAGTGTAAAAGTCTTCTGACAATGGATGTGTAAGACCATGAACTCTGTTTGTCTCATGGTCCCGAATGTATAATAGAGCATTTCTGGGTGCCTGTGTGTGAAATTACAGGCTTCTGGACCAGTGGATAAATGCTGTGATTAAGATAAACCCAAAATAAAAGAGGAATTTGACTCTAATTAAGCTTAACTATCACTTTAAACTTAAATTTGATTGGAGTGGAGATTTTGGATGATATTGAACATGAAGCATCTAAGACCTGAGTGTTGAATGACAACAAGAATGGGGACTGAGGATGGAAGAGGAAGGTAGAAGGACCAGGGTGGGGGGAGGGGACAGAAGAAGGAATGAGACATTTTAGAACTCTCAGCCTATCCTGATTCCAGTGTCCTGGCCGTACAGCAATAATTAACACTAATTGGGCTCATAATCATAACACAGTGGCTAACAAAGCAGATTCTGGAAGGAGACTTCCTACGTTTGAATCTCCGATCTGCCATTTGCTGTCTGGGTGAGTCTGGGAAGCCTATTGAACGTCTCTGCATCACAGTTGCCTCATCTGTAAAATGGGAAAAAAGGAATACATTTTTTGTAGGGTTTTTGTTTGAGTTAAATGAGTGAAAACTTGGGGAGTAAATGGAAGCCCTAACTAAGTGTGACTTATCTACATTTTGGCCTGTTACATTCTTACATTAAATTTTCATACATTTTCGACAAGGGAGTTACTGATCATCTCCAATTTACAGATGAGGAAACTGAGGCACAGCGAGGTTAAGTAAGTTGTTCATGGTCACACAGCTACGTGGTAGAGCAAGTATTTTAGTCTAGGATGACTGCCTCTGGAGCCCATCCTCTTAACTGCTGTGCTAATCAGTTTCTGGGTGCTCCTGGGGCAATTCTTTGGAGATAGGGAGGAGATAATCACACCTAAAGAGCATCTATGATGTGCCAAGTATTGTGCTAGGATGAGTCACCTGTATTTCCTTGGTTATTTTTCACAATTATTGTACAAGGCAGCTGTCACTACTTTCTTTTTTAAGACAAAGAATCAGAGGTATTATGCTTGCTGGGGATCACCCAGTTGGTCAGTTGCCAAACCTGTGTTGAACTCAGGCCTGACCGATGTTAAAGTCAAGCTGTAGAAACAGGAGCTGAAGTTGGCCTCTCTTCTTTTGCACTGGCCTCAGCATGGGCCTAAAAGAGGGCCGATCCCTCTCTGTTGGCTCAAGATCTCTAGGATTCATGGTTATTGCTGGCACAATCTGTCTCTTAGTATAGAGCAGAAATTCTGGTGCCTCATGGAATCTGGTGCCTAGCATGGTTCTTGAGGTCAAGAATGCACTCAATACCTACATGGATCATAAAATCCACGTGACTTAAAGGGCATGCCATTTGACAGAGGCTGGAGGCTCCCATCCAGTTTTTTTCACTACATATAAGAGGCTTCATGTCTCACCTGCTTTTCCTAGAACCTGCTCTCTTTAACCAAGGTCAACATTTCTTTGTCATTTACTTTTCCCTCAACCTGCCACCTTCACCACCAGCCCAAGAGGCAGCACAGGCTGAAGACAAAAGCAAGTCAGAAAAACAAGTTTAGATAAATTCATAGATGATGCCATTGGAAGGAGAGCTTTACAGTGTGATGGTGAAATGCACTGGCTTTGGATTAGACCCCTGTCACTATTATTCTGATATTATTTTTAGAAAAGAGTGTTGGAGAAAATGCAGTTTTCTATGCTCTATTGCCTTAAATATTTAAGAACAAAAAGATTTCTGTCAGTGGTTATATATGACAACAATCTCCTAGCACCTGCCACCTGGGAGACATTAGATGAGCTATCAGCTTTTCGGGGTCACAGTTTCCTCACTGGTGAAGTGTCTACTACGGTTCTTGGTGCATAGTAAATTTCAATAAATGACAGTTATTGTAATGGGCTATGGAGAGAGACACAGATATTGGTTGAGATCCCCAACCTTTGGGCATTACCATAACAAGTAGGATAACGCCCTTCCTCTTCCACAATGAATAGCTACCATCTGCTGAGCATTTACTGGGTGCCAAGAACTGTCTAGGCATGCTACAGATCTTAAGTCATTTAATTCTTACATCATTCCTAAAAGGTAGATACCATTATTATCACCTAAAATTTACTGATTAGGAAACAGGAATACAGAGTTGAAGTGACTTGCTTAATATCACACAGCAGGTGGAACACAAAGCAAAATTGGAGCTGCTGCAGGGTACACCAATGCACCATGTATGGAGCCTATGCACCAGAGTCCACAAGCTTTACCACTGTGCTACCATTTGGTACCTCTTGGCGAGGCAGAATCTAGGTTGAAGAGATACCAATTTTCTTAGACATCCAAAATTGCTGGTAGGATCCTTGAAAGGAAGGACAAGAGTCACAAATCTTTTGTTCCCCAAAATGCCTTGCACAGACTTGAGCAAAAGTAGGTGCTTAAGCAATTCTCACTGGTTGTGAATTGGTTGATTGCAAATAAGTGTTTAAGCAACTCTCATTGGTTGATTGTCGGTTCGTTGATTGGTCAGATTTCTTTTTTTACTTTGTTTCCTCTTTGGGTGCCTTCCCTCATCCTCCTACATCCAACTCACTCTTTAGCTGTTCCTGTCGCCATCCTGCTAACCACAAGTCCCAATTCGGTTGAGATCAACAGTCAGGTGGTTCCCTTAATAACTCTTCCTTGGCTATGAGTCTAAGGACAGTAAAGTTCTCTGTTAT